TCATTCACTCCTTTTGGTTTGATTTTTTTTTTTCCCCCCCCTGACTTGCGTGGCCAGGTACGACGAAGCTACCAACGAGCTCATTAACGAGGAGCTGGGCATTGCATACCCCGTCATCGATGGCATCCCGAACATGATCCCAGAGGCTGCCAGGACGACTCGGAAGAAGCCCCCAGCTGAGGGCTCGAAGCAGCCCTGAGGACCCACCGGCCACAGCAGGGAACTGGGACTGATGGCCAGAGGAGGCATGCTCCCCTCCCTGCCCACACTGACCGTGCTTGTTCCCCTCCTGTCCCTAGCAGGCTTGTTTTACTCGGCCAGCGTAGATGAAACCTTCCCCCAGGGCTGCACCAGCACAAGCAGCTTATGTTTCTACAGTCTCCTCCTTCCTATTACAATACCGGTTTATGTATTCTTCCACCTGTGGACCTGGATGGGGATTAAGCTTTTTCGGCACAACTAGTGCGATGTGTTTGCTAACCCCTGGGCTTCTCTAAAGCAACGCAGTTTATTTAATCGCATCAGGTATTGCAGTTGATTTGAGAGAGGTCCCTTCCGGCACTCTCTAGTGACTGCCGTCATTTTCCTAGCAGGATCTGGAACTGTATGAAAGTCCTCTGCAGCAGCCTATTACTTAATTACTGCTAAGGCAGAAAAAGAGGAGGAATAACAAGAAGCACTAATTCTTTCTAGTGTATCTTTTCAGGAGTGTTATGCGTTTGTAGTGGCACTAATGAAAATCTTCTAGGTGGTGATTGTTTTTTATGAGGAAGAACTGTACCCTTACTGAAATAACTGATCTTAAATAATAAGCAGCAACAACATGCAGCGATAAGAATCTCTCTTTGAATTACGAGCTTTGGTTTTGTTTTGAACTGATGTGTGTATTGAAATGTATTTGTCTCACTGTCAGAAGAACATAAAATAAATTAGGCTGATGTTTAATAACAAAACTTGAGTTAAATGAAGAAATTTACTTGGATGACATCCAAGTCTGTATGTCCAGTAGCTGCTTTTTTTTTTTTTTTTTCCCTTAAGAAAGAGATGGGGAAATGACAGCGCTGCAGAATAGATGTACATTTGGGGGTTTTGCTAGAGTGGCCTACAACATATTCCACTGACTGCTCAGGAGATGTATGTCCCTGTACTGTTTGTTAAATGTGTCTGAGTGCCTAAGTTTGATAGCCAGGCTGGGTCATCTTCGTTCAAGAGGCATCTCCTGACAGGTTAGAGGAAAAATAACTCCAACTGAGCGCAGGATTTGGTAGCCAAGTTGGCAGCCACAAGTGCTGTTTAAGTGCGTAGAGTATCTTTCCCCTTAGCACAATCCTCCCCAGTAGAGAGGGAACAGAAGGTGGTTCTGCTAAATACTTTAAGCTTCCCTGTTTTCATTTACAGCAGCGCTAGAGAATGGAGTGACAGACTACTATGAGGGTGTCACGTGCAGTTCTCGGTACTGCCTGACAAAATGTCTTAACAGGACACAGCTACGAAGGGGACAGGTTAATGCTATGGTATCTATTGCAAGGGTTTCTTTTTGATGTCTTGTTACTGGGTGGCTTATATCTGCAACACAGGCACGTGAATGTCCTTTACCTCCTGAATAATTCAGAAATGCAGCACCAAGTTGTGAATACTGCAGACTTCAGTGTCTCTTGGTGGGATACTAATAATGCAGTCGAGTTGATCAGGCTGCTGCTGGGCAAATAATGCTGCAATGCACAGTATGAAAGGCAGTGCCCACAAGAGGTGTATTTGAAGGCTGACTAAGTGCAGCTCAGGGCTCCTCGTACAATTGGTGGAGAGAGACTCTAGATCTAGAGGACGGTACAGAGCACAAGTCTTACTGCCTCTTTCAGCTCATGCAGTGAGGAAGGGGAAGGAAAGGTAGCTCTAGGAACCTTCTCCTAAGCACAGAGGAAGGAAAAGCTTTTACAGCTCTGGTTGGCAAGAAGGCTCACTTGGAACAAACCAGCACTGGGTAACATGGCACTGAGGTTGATAGTTCCTGCTGCACAGGCGTGGTGACAGACCCTGACGGCCCTCGTGTTAGTGACCGATACGGCACGTGGTCCCCAAGCTGAGCTCCACTCTGGCCAGCTGCCCTGTTCCCACATCAGCCATCCAATGGCGTTCGCAGGACAGGGCTAGCATTGCAATACCTGAAGAAAATACAGCTGCCAGAACCTTTGGGTTCGCATGGAAACCACAGACTAAAGCCACAAGGAGACAGCAGCATTATCATCAGCTTTTCATCTCTTGCTGGCACTATCCCTCCTTTCCCTTCAGGCAAGCATCTCCATGAGAGAAACGGCTTTTGCGGCTGTGTCGCTTGCTGGCCTCTAATACTGGCTCCCCAGCCACCAGATTTTTCCCATACAGCAAACTAAGCCTAGAGTCTTTAAAGTCAGTCTAGCGGTAATCGTAACAGACTTTGCCAACTACCAGTTTCCCATGCAATCCTATTACGTTACCCCGAAGCAACCTCACAGTAAATAGCACCAGCACTTGCGTTTAACTTACACCAACAAAGCTTGATGGCTACCTGGAACAAGAATGTTAAGATACTGCCCTCCAGAGTTTACTCTACGTCTCCCGTGGATACGTGTTTAATTTGATGAGTAGCTGGTTTTTTGTATGCTCAATGAATACTGAAACCCTTCTACCAATACTTCAGTAACACTGAAAACCAAAGAACGTTGCAGCAATATATTCAGAGCTAACAAATAATACAACTTGGTATCTTACCTTTAAGATCTTCCTGAATTGCTCAGGTGGTGCATCATTTAAATGGGACCATATGTCTTGCAGCAGGCACTGTCTTCTGACTGGAAAAAACCAGGGTTCTGGTTCTATCCATAGTATACTGTATGTCTGAATATTGAAGTAACAGCATATTAGCAGTGTGTTTATCTCTTCTATTTATTGTAAAAAAATTGGTCACACTTACATGAGGAAAGGACAGAATGTTGCATTCTTCATGATGAATGGCTATCTTGTCGTGCATGTCAAAGATGCATGGATATTTGGTCAGCTTCCATAGGACCATCTGAAATGACAAGGAAGAAAAAAAGACGTGTTGATTTTCTCTTGCAAAATCAGAGTTCGGGGGTACATGTGCAGACTACGCTGCCAGTCTGTACCCTGGCAAATTCCTGTACCTCTGAAATGTGCCCTTGTTGTGTACATGAACACTACACCAACAGAGGCACACTTTCTAAAAGCAGCTTCTAAACGCTTCTGTGAGTGGGAAACCCTGACAGAGAGGCATCAGAGCGGTCTGTGCAGGCAGACACTTGTGTTACAGTGCCCCGAGAATAAAACAGAGACATAGTGATTTTAATAGCATCTTTCATAATTCAGCTAAACCAAAACTCGTAGTAAAAAAGTCCTGGATACCCAGGTTCTGGTACATTGTTGTTAAAAACTGTTTGGTTTATTATCTGTAATACCAAAAGTAGATATTGGTATACAAATTAATTCAAAGTGTTACAGCTTCAGTGCGATAAGGTAGCAACTTCAGGTAAGGTCCTATCTGGCTTTTGATTCTATGCTGTTTCTCAAACCTCCTCCTCTGCTCTGGTTAGTTGGTATAAAATTGGTGCATTAGCAAAATGACAACTTACGAAAGAATTAGGCAGTTGCCCTGCAAATTCCAGCCAAGTTGCCAGAAAACTGCATTTTTTGACTAAGGAAGCCCCTACTATCCAGTTTCCAATTCATGCTGCTTCCTGTGACACTGGTTGCATTTGGTAGCTAATTTTTACTCCTTCGTGTCACCAAGAAATGAATCATTTCACAGATTATTTTTTATTACCACAGCTTTGGTTTTAGATGTAAGTAAATTGAAATGCTCAATAGGGTTTCTACATACAGGTTTAAAGAGACCTCACAATATTTCCATTAATTAAGCATAATAAAATCCAGAGTATCAAGAAGCATAGCAACCATCCCTCATGGTGCTATTTCACACTGATCACCAGTTCAAAGCAAACAGAGCTGCTTAAGATGCTGGAGGACAGCTCCGACTCTCAGAACCAGGGGTCAGCTCAGGAAAAGCACTATTGTAGCCACTAAAATACTGGGATGGTAAATGGCTTGCCTAATTTAGAACAGCTGGAGGACTAGGGAAAACACATTGTCTTTGAGATATACTGGGCTAGAGTCATACATATTGGCTTTCATATATATCAACTCATTTAAATAAAACAGGAAAAAAAAGTGTTTCGCACTGCTGGTAAGATTTTATCCTTACTTGTAGACTAAAGAGTGGAGACCATCCGATAATCTCTTTCACTTGAGGCACATAGAAGTTGTTTTCTTGTACTCTGTAACCAGTTCTGGAGTTCACCTGCATTGATACACACAGTATGAAAAGGGGTGTCAGCAGATCTAGTGAGCTATGTGTCTGTGTGGCAGGACAGGACTAAGGAGTAACAGGGCTCTCCGCAGAAAGAGCTCCGAGACCCTGTGCAGAAGTGGAAGGATGAAGTGCTACAAGTAGCACAGCACTCAACAGTGAGAAGTCTCAGAAAGCCATGTATGAACTAGCAGGAAAGCAATTTTCATTTACAGTGAAGACCCCTTAACAGGACTCCATCAGGAAAGGTATGTTTCACTTTGAGTGTCTTTCATGCTGCAGGACAATCCAAAGTTCCCTATTCATGTTCAAACTTGTTGCCTGGCAAAGACATGATTTTGGGGGGGACAGTGAGCATGTAAAGCTCCAAATGATGTAACTACTTATGGAGGAGTAGGCCTGCTGCACTGTTGAGTTTATTTATCTGGATAAATAAAGATTCAAGAGTCTAAACATCGAGGCCCAAATCTGCATTCTCAGCCACAAGGACATTCAAATCTGAACAAAATTTAACAACTCTGATTCATGCTAAGTGCATGCTTGAGCTCTTGACTTTGCTAAACTTTGAACATCTCAGCAGGAGAAAGGACGGTTGTCAAGAAGAATACAGTTATTGCCCCCTTTCTTCCCCTTGTTCATATGCAGCTAAAGATGCTCTAATTCTGTTGTCCCAGAACATTACTCAGGTAACAGGCTCTTAAAGAAAGCATCATGCAGTGTTACTGTGGCAGCCACGATGTGCCAAGCAGGTGGGTTGTCTTTTAAATGCTGGGAGCAGTCACTGGGGTGAGGGTTCTCACCAGCAGAAAGGGGAATGGGCGCGCTACCTAATGGACAGCACGTAGCACATCCATAGCTCCTATGCATCAACGCAGGCACTCCTCACACCACTGAAAGCATCCCTCCCCCTGCTCCCTGCCAGGGACTGTAACATGCTTCAGCTCTTCATTTCTGTAGAGGGTCAGCCAGGCACAAGTCAAGAGCAGGATTCTTTCAAAGCTGTGCTGGTGTAGAGCCAAAGGGATTCCTGAGGCCATGTCAGATGACGAGGCCCCGTGTTCCCTTGTAAGAAGGACACCCAGAGAATTCAACAAGTAAAAAGGGTTAAAATACTCCAACTCATATTGATACGTCCTATCTAATCAGGATCCAAACACCTTCTCACCTGGTAAAGAATCTGCAGTATTTGCAGAGTCTCTGTTTCATGTGGGTGCAGGTTGTAGGGGTTTCTTTGCCAACGTCTGATTTCCATGATCAACTGAGACAGGTTTTTCCAGGAAACCCTCTGATATAGAGTGACCAGCTCCTTGAAAAAGGATGTTTCTAGATTTGACCACAGGCATTCTGTGAAGAAAGCAGCTAGTGAAGTATGCATCACAGGTAACATGCAAATAACTGCAATTTCTGGATGAAGCTGCATTTTCTCTTTTTATCAAATGAACTAAACAAAAAAAAAGCAAGCTTAATTTTGCACCACAAAAATGAGTAAACCTCAGACTGAGAATTTTTTTTTTCTTGTGTCTTGCTGTGTAGTCCGCATGTTTCTACTTCTATTGAAAGCATTTCTTCCAGGCTGAACTCCAGAACAAATTACCTCAGCAACACTAACTCTTGCTCCACAGCCAAAAATGACCAAGCATTTAAATCATTCAGTTCTATCATCATAAAACCCTACCAAGAGTTTGCAGGTCCTCTGGCTGGAGCTTTGTGATGGCTTGTGCTAGCAGACTGAGAGAATGGAAAGAGCTGTCATCTTCGCTCTGCAGAAGGAAAGGCAAGATCAAATAGACTCTGAAATTTTCAGGTGAGATGGGAGACGAAGACAATGATGGCAGTAACTTCTCAATCTCCTTTTGCACCTTCAGAGGACAAAAAAAAGGGACAAGGGTTAAAAATGCAATTATGTTTTGCCAAAATCATCTATGAATTAGGTTGGCACAGAATTCCCAAGTTTCATGCACAAATCCAGAGGTCCTCAGTATCCGTGTAGTGAGAATTCTCATATCGAATCCTTACCTCTTGGAAGACTTTTGGCTTCTTGATGATCTTCTCATAAAACCGTTGCACTTCTGACATGTCTACACCTGAGACTTCTTTGGAAGTTTTGAAATGTTTGTCTCTATCACAGAGGAAAAAAAGAACATCAAATGATGTGAGTAGCTCGTTTTTGTTACTGACTGAATAGTGAAGCACCCTAACTTCAGAAAATACTTGGAAAGTTCAGCCCCAGCTCCAGCGGGTATAATTGCATCTGTTCTAAGAAGATATGCTCACTGTGGTGTGACCTGATTAATATTCTGCCCTTCCTGTCTTCTGTAGCTATGCACTATTAATGGTAGGCAGTTTCTGCATTTCACCCCACAACTTGCACTTCAGTGCCGGGAGGAGCTATTATGGATCCTTTGGAAGCTGTAATATTGACTAAAGGGCTTATCATAGAATCACAGAATCATTTAGGTTGGAAAAGACCTTTAAGATCATTGAGTCCAACCGTTAACCTAACACTGCCAAGTCCACCACTAAACCATGTCCCTAAGTGCCACATCTATACGTCTTTTAAATACCTCCAGGGATGCCAACTCAACCCTTACCATCATCTGTCAAATGTCACTATGGGGTAATCTGCTGGAATGTGAGCTTCTGTAGCAAATTTCAATAGGACTAGGGGGATAAAAAACTTAATTTTAGCATGGGCTTTGAAAAATACAGACTTGCTTCTTGCAAATTCAGATACGACTAATCTTCTCTAGATACGTGGCCTAAAATAACACTTTCTGATCAGTTTACATGCAGCCAGTACATTCTATGACACCTAAGTCAGCGCACGCTACCTTTTCTCCAGGAAGCTTCCGTTGATGCAAGCCTCAGATGAAAAGATCAGTCTGATATTCCTGATAGTAAAAAACAAACCAAAATCAATCCTTGCAACATGAGTAGCAACTTCAGGTTTTTGATTCTGAAGGAACAAGAAACGCGTGTACGAGTGTGTCTGAACCTGACCGCATAAAACTTTTCTTGGTGCCACTTTATTGACAGCGTTGCAGAAGACATTGTATTCAAGGAGTTAGTGATCTTCGGCGAGCCGCCTCTGTTCTCGGGGCCTTGTAAGGGAACCGGCTCATGCCCCCCACGCCAGCCTGTGTTGCATGCTGGTGGGTGTTACAATGGAGATATCTTCTCCTGACAGGTTGGGATGTTATCTGGTTTTGTTTGTTATGCAAAATAAAAGGCACTGCGGCATGGGATGGGGAGGAACCCCTCTACGGATGGGATCTTTGTAGCACGCTGAGGGAAAATCCATCAGGGTATTCATTTGGGGCTGCACAAAAGCCGGGTTCCCATCATCTGAAGGGACATTAGACTTACTCACTACCTGTATTCCTGGTTCTATTCTTACTGAAGCAGCTACTTTATTAAGCGATTTGCTGTCAGGCCCTTCCTATTGAGATCTGGAAAGAACCCAACTCTCACGCTCTCAACAACCACTTTCCATACGATCCAAACCATACTAAAAGTGGTCAGGGAAACATTTAGATCCAAATTAGCCAAGATTTTTAAATGCTTAGAATCAGCAGCTGGAGTCAGACTTGCCCAAAGAAAAAAACCTCCCATGTAACATCTGAAAAATACTACGTAATCATAATTCTCAGCCAGAAGCGTAAGGCGTCCCACAGTAGTGGGAAAAGCAGTACTTACTGCTTTTGAAAATGGGTAGCTAAAGAAGGGATCACTGATTTTTAGATGTTGACACGCACAAAACGTTCTAGTTTGGGTACTCTGGATTACGATTTTTGCACAAGGCCTCAGTCTGCAGACCGAATCTTTCACGGATTTAACTTGTCAGCTCTTCATCAACTTAACAACCATCCTGTGCAAGAGGAGGAGGGCAGGCTTCCAAAGCCAGGCAGTACGTCTGCTCTGTGCCTGCAAAAGGGTTGCTGAAGGGCTGTTGCTTATCAGCATCTCTTTTTCCTGTGCAAAATCTAGGTAAGAAGTGCTGGTACAAGATTCTGTCTTGGCTAAATTCTTGAACATCAGTTCCTACAATAGTCTCCAAAGAACAGTAATTTTTAGATAAAATCATGTATCAAGGGGGAAAAAAACCCAGCAGGTTTCTGACTTACTTTTTTATGCTCTCCCAACGTTGTGAACTGGAATTAGAAATCCATGCATCCACTTCTTTATCATTCAGAGTGGCAATTCCATTCAGAAAGGAACTCTGTGTGAAATGCATGAAAATATTGACAAGATTACAGGTCTAGCAGATGGGATTCTTTTTTTCAAGCCAATCATTACAAGAAGATATCAGCTTAAGTATGAACAAATTAATGGTCATCCAGCACGATCCAGATGCGTTAACCACAGAACAGATATATAATTGCAATACAAGTTAGTTTCTGGGTAAGCACAGAAAGAACTGCAAGAGACATACATGAACTTGGAGTGCTAAAAGCAGGATGGAAAATCCAAACGTTTCCAGCAGTAATGTGAACAATGGTAAAATTAGAAGCCATGATCAAATATGCACACACCTTGTTCTTGCAAAGGACAATGCTTTTGTTTCTTCTTGCACTAATTTCAATCACCTTTTGTGGCGTGTTTTTTCCTGTGAAAGAATAAAAAGATTTTCAAAGGAACATTTGAAGAGGCAGTCATTATCTTCAGAGAGTTCAGTGCACAGATGTGGAACAGTAAAAAAAATCCCCTCAGATAGTAGCTGTCTGTTGAAAAGTTGATTCTATGTGGCCATTACCCATGATGATAAATCAAGCAGCAAATTAAATTACCCATTGTAGAATCTGTTGGGATGACCAAGCAAGCATGAGACATAATGTCAGCCTCCCAGTGTAAACATGAAATCAAGAAAGCAAACATCTCCGTGGAAGAAATAAATACAGATTGTACACATCTGCAATGGTCATTACCCTGACAGAATTTTCCAGTATTCACTGGTGAATTGATGGGATGTGGTATCAACCGATTAGGCTTTCTCTCATCTCCCAGCTGTCCTTCACCAGAACCAAACGAATAGACTTTGTCCAAGGAGGGGACATAGACCAGGGTGTGCTGACTGTTCAGAAAAAGAAGAATGGTCATAATAAGTTAATATCACTGGGCTAGTCAGAATAAAATTTACAGATGCGTTTTCAGAGTAGAAAGCTGAGGCTTGTCTTTAGAAGTCCTGACAAGTCCAGCTATTGAATCCCTTTAACCAAAGTCTTAGGACACTTCCTTGCGTAAACATTCAGCAATAAAGAAACATATGGACTCAAATTTCCTATACTATACTCCAATGTTTGTGACTTACCCTGGTTCCACATACAAAAACAAAGCGTTATGCCTCGCTAGCTTCACGCCCTTCCATTTTTAAAAGCGCAACTTCTATGCTGCTGAGCCTGACACAAAGCCCAGAAAAGTCAACAGGAGACTTTTTCTGGCCCAGTTCCAGAAAGGCAGAATGAAACTGGATAATTATCACCACTCTTCAGTACTTTCTAAGGACCCACCAGTTTGTCAAAGTGGACGGGAATTCAGTGACTTTGCCGACGCAGGCTTTTGGCAGTCTTTTGCCCTTTGGAACCCAGTACACCCTTTGTTTCTCTAAAAGAGCAAAAAACCAAGGGCTTCTGGTGTTTTTTGCAGCCCTCTCCCTCTGCTCAGCAGGGGCTGAGGGTTCTGCTTTCACTGGGGCTGTGGCAGGAGAGTGGCTTACCCTTGAAGAGTGGACGATATTCTGACAGTGCTGACCTACTGGGATACAGGGATTTGAACATCTTGGTGACTCCCCCTCCCTACTGTTCTTCAGTGATTCCCCTGAGACCCTTGACCTTAGAAGGCACGTTATCGGTACTTTCCCACCTGCCACAGGCAACCTGCGAAACTCTTGCTCCCCACAGCTCGGCCACCACACGAGGCACGAGTTCATTCCGGGTAGAGTTGTGACCAAGCTGGCCAGCCCCTCCTGCTCCAAAGGTGCACACCAACCCCTCCTTGAAGATGAAGAAACAAACAACAGGATCATTGCGTTACTAACGGCGTTCAAATGGTCACCACCGAGAGCGAGAGCCAGCAAGACACGATCTGTTATACGGGACTTGATTCAAAACATCCCTGAGTCAAACACAGGTAGACTTCATTTTGCGTCAAGCCTAATCTTACACTGTCTAATGTCCAAATCATTTAGCTTCTGAGAAAAGCAATTTAACTCCTGAGAATAACTCCCTGTTGCTTAAGAATTTTACTTGTATGAGTAAACCCTAGTGACTTAGCTACTGTTTTCTGAAGTCCTCGATATGCTATAAAAGTACTGATAGTTGAACTACACCTCTTTGCTCCAGGATTCCCATTCACTGTCTCCCTGCAAAAGTTTGCACGCAGGTGACAGGAATCTGTGAAAAGGCCAGTTTTCCCAATAGCTTAGTTAGCATCCCCTAGGGATAGTCTTCAGACTCAGAGGGAAGCAGGCATTGCCATCCCAATTTCTCCGTGCTGACTTTTAGCAGTGTATCTCTTCTCACAGGGTGAGGTCTCAGATACTGACTTTCCATTTCAGACTCACCTTGGAGAGAACTGCAGTGTGATTTGCCCCACATGAGATAAATACAGTCTTCCAGTGCTCTAATGCTCCAATATATGATGGGCAGTCCCTGTCTGGGAAGAAGACAGCACTGCTGAAGTGAAAGAGTACTGAGGGGTCACACAAAGGAGTTAGAAAATAGGCGGGTTTAGCACTTTTCAGTCCTCTCTTACAGCAATTCATGTATTTACAACTTGGTTTTGAGTTGTTCTCTACCCTTCACTGTAACA